CTCCCCTCCAGTTCCACTCCAAACAGGGCCGTTCCCAGCCTCCAGGGAGGGCGGTCCTGAGGAGCCAGCCGAGAAGAACCTTCCGGAATGCCCATGTCCATCGTGGGGCTGTGCCTGGCTGAGCTGGGAGAGGAGGCGTGTGCAGGGACAGTGCACGGTCACTGCTGGTTGATGCCTAGTGCAATGCCAGCAGCTGCCCGGGGGCAGTGTGAACCTAGCCCCGAGTAGGAAGGGGTGCAGAGGGGGCATGAGAGTCCAGGTGCCATCCGGGACGTGGCTGCAGAATGAGAGCAGATGAAGGAGGTGCCCGGGGAGGGGTGTGGCAGCGGGTGGGAGCCTGGGAGCAGGGGGTGGGCCTCAGGGGTGGGGAGGCCTGTGCAGCCTTGTGCAAGCCCTGAGGGGTCAGAGGAGTCCCCAAGCCATGAGACTTGGGCCTGGAGCTGGGGCCCTTCACATGGCAGGGGGCCAGGTACCCGCACCCGTGGGCCCAGCAGCTTGGCCTGCCCAAGGTAATGGTGCCCTTGCTCATCCAGAACCTGTGGACCTTGCGAGCTCCCATGGGTGATATTTCCGGGCTCAGCACTCTGGAACACGTGGCCAGGGGTCTTCAGCGGTATGCCCTGGGAAGCCCCAGGCCAGCCCCTATGGCCCTGCTGGAGAAGCCACCCCCAGGCTTCCAGCCCAGGGCTGGGCACCAGCACTTGAGATTTGATTACAGAGAGCGTTTTGGCTTCATTAAAGTTCATTTAATGAGCCATCCAGTGTAATTGAGCTGAATAAGAATGGCCTGCTGGCTGGTGCCCCGCCCCCTGGACAGCCACTTAATCGAGGGGAAGAGCAAATACATCAGCGGTGTAGACGGAGATGGCTCAGCGGGGGGGTGTGGGGGCGGTGGAGCAGGCCGGCTCCAGCCTTTCCTCCTGCAGGCCTGGGGTCCTCCGAGCCTGGGGTCACCCGCCCGGGTGGGCTGTGGGGTCAGTTTCTGATATTTGCTGCAGAGGTGACCCCGGGGTGGTGGACTGAACACCGGCCTCCTTCACGCCCCACAAACTCTGTAGGGCTGGGAATCGCCACTCTGGATCTTACTCAACCTCTCCCGCTCTCTCCCGCTCTCTCCCGCTCTCTCCCAACCTCTCCCGACCTCTCCTGCTCTCTCCATGCGGGGTCCTCAGTGGGGAGCAGCACCCTGGCCCAGGTGGGCAGGTTTGGAGCCGGGGACCCTCAGGGGGATGCGCTGCTCTCTGAGGAAGCAGCTGGGTGTCTCCGGCCTTGTCTGTCCCCACATCTGCCTTTCCAGGTCCATCCAGCCTGAGTCCTGGCCTGGAGATGGGCAGTGTCCCCCCCGCCCTCCTCCCCACCCGCTCCTCGTGTTTCCAGGAAGCTGGTTCCAGGGCACAGACAGGAACCGGCAGTCACAACACAGAGGTTTTTGGGGACAGTCCCATAGCCTACTTGGCCGTCACCTCGGGGTGACGAGGGACCAGGATGTGCATCCCTCACTTGTGCCACTGATAATGGAAATAGCCTCTTGGCCCTGCACTCTGGAGCTGAAGCCAAAGGTCCAGGGAGAGAGCTGGGCCCATCGAGCCCTGGGCTCGGCGTGCCCGGCTCTTCGGCCTCCACCCCACCCCACTGGAGAGGACCTTGGGTGCGCTTGACGGCCAGGTTAACCCTGGCGCTCGGGATGAGGGGTCCCGGTCATTCTGGATGACATGCAGGGTCCCCAGTCCCCAGTGGCCGCAGTGGGGTGCGTCTGGCCTCCCCCCCCGCCCCTGCCCTGTGCCCCTCTCAGCACCCGCCCCCCCTACCCCTGGGCTGATCCTTCCTGCCCCTGGCCTGAGTCTGTGCCAGGGAGCCCGGGAGCTGTAGCTGTGCCCCACTACCTCCCTGGGGGCCCCCATCGGAATGAGATTGGGACTGGGACACGCAGACGCTGCCCGGGGTGGGGCACCGACAGCAGAGGGGGGCCGACCAGAGAGGAAGTGGCTCCAGTCCCCGGTGTAGAGAGAGGCAGGCCGTGTGGACAGAAGCCCTGAGTTTGGCAGCAGATCACGGGCGAACTGCGGTGGGTCTCAGTGGGGGAGGGGCTGAGACCACACACCCTGGCGGGGGAGGGCAGGAGACCCCCCGCCCCCCCCAGGAACCTCCAGTCCCCTCTCCCGGGTCTAATAAGGGATAATGCCTTTTCTCCTCCTTTATTTGCCCGGGGTGCCTGTTATTTTCTTTCTTTTAGAATCCAATTTTCTCCTGACATTTCTACCTAATGTAGCAAAGCTTCGTCTCTGAAGAAGGGCAAAGCGGGCCTCCCTGTGGGAATCCCCGGGGCGCACCGGGAGATGGCAGGGATGCCTGGTTCGAAGGGCTGGGGGGCATTTTCTCTGGGCCCCGGGTGCTGGCTTGGGTGGGCAGGGTGGGCGGGGCGGGGGCGGGTGAGCACTCTGCAGCTTCTCCAGGAAAGTGGGTCCCAACAGAGGAGTTGGGAGTCGGGGGCGGAGAGTGCCCCCAGCCCTGCTGTCCCATGGGGCCCCCAGGGGTCTCTGTGCTCTGAGAGGCTGGAGGATGGAGGGACGCAGGAGAAAGGGTGCCAGCAAGCGAGGAGCGAGGGGGGCTGCAGTGGGGGGAGTCGGGGCTGGTGCTGTCCTGGGAAGGACTGTGGGGGCTAGGGTTCGAGCTGGTGAGTGGGGCAGTGAACTGGGGTCCCCTCCCTGAGGCCCGACAGCTGCAGTAGGGTTGGGGTGCCCACCCCAAGCCTGTTCTGTATCTGCTTCTCTGAGGAGTTCCCCCTGGCCCCCCAAGCTCCCCCATAAGCCCCAGCCCCTTGCAGCCCCTCTACAAGCATCCTGCAGACCCCCACCCACCCCCCAGCTGTCTCTGTCTGCTGTCTTCTCCCCTGGCCCCTGGGCGCCCTCTCCCTCCTCTCCCTGACTCCACCCTGGCCACCTGCCTCAGGAGGCCGCTGCCCCAGGACCTCCCCTCAGCTCAGGCCTGCAGTGCGGGCGTCCTGCAGTGAGGACCGTGCTCGCACGCGGCCCTGTTCTCCTGCAGCCGCTCAGTCCATCCTGGCCTTCCTCAGAAGGAAATCCAGAGCCAGAGGCCTTGCTTCTGCCCCTCCCTCATCCCTGGCTTCTTCCCACCTGCCCATCCCCACCAGAGGGGGCTTCCCCCCACCTCCTGGTCAGGGCGGCCAGCTCTGCCCCGCTCTGGTGTGCCTGCAGAGGCCAGGGCATCCCAGGTGCGGGGCTCACGGCTCACTCGCATCTGTGGGTGAGTTGCCGCTCCCCAGCTCCTCTCCCCGCTGCCCACCAGCCCCCTCACCGCGAGGCCCGCAAAGCAGTAGCTGTGGGCGCGTTGCTTCTTGGATCCGCAGAGGCATGGCTGCTCCTTCCCCCGTTCATTCCTCCTAATGAGGACAATTAAATCGTCATTAGGGCCAATGGTGTGGTGAACCCCAGTGGCGGCCTGGGTGGGTGTGCCTGCTGGGGTTAGGGGGAGGGGGCACCGTGGAGTGTTAGGGAAGGGGGGTGGCCGGCCATTGGGCTTTGAGGCACGGAGATGCGGAGATCTAACTTCGGCCGAGGAGGGGGGAGTCTGCTGGAAGGTGGTGAGGAGGGTGTATTTCACACTGGGGTGTGTGTGTGTGTGAACGTGGTCTGCTGAAAGATTGTGAGGAGTATTTTACACTGATCTGGGTGTGTGGGGTGGAGGGTGTCGTGTGTGTATATGTGTGTGTGTGTATGTGTGTGTGAATGGGGTCTGCTGAAAGATTGTGAGGAAGGTGTATTTCACACTGGGGTGTGTGTGTGTGTGTGTGTGAATGGGATCTGCTGAAAGATTGTGAGGAAGGTGTATTTCACACTGGGGTGTGTGTGTGTGTGTGTGTGTGTGTGAATGGGGTCTGCTGAAAGATTGTGAGGAAGGTGTATTTCACACTGGGGTGTGTGTGTGTGTGTGTGTGTGTGTGTGTGTGTGAATGGGATCTGCTGAAAGATTGTGAGGAAGGTGTATTTCACACTGGGGTGTGTGTGTGTGTGTGTGTGTGTGTGAATGGGGTCTGCTGAAAGATTGTGAGGAAGGTGTATTTCACACTGGGGTGTGTGTGTGTGTGTGTGTGTGTGTGTGTGAATGGGGTCTGCTGAAAGATTGTGAGGAAGGTGTATTTCACACTGGGGTGTGTGTGTGTGTGTGTGTGTGTGTGAGAATGGGGTCTGCTGAAAGATTGTGAGGAAGGTGTATTTCACACTGGGGTGTGTGTGTGCGCGCGTGTGTGTGTGCGCGGTCACACTGGGCAGCACTCTGGGGTCACTGCAGGCAGTGTTTGGGGCATCCCGTGGTGGCGGGCGTTGAACCCAAGGTTCCTGCAGCCAGAGCCTGCGCTTCGTGAAGCCCTTGGGGCCTCCTGCTCTGCGTCTACTATCTGCCCTGCAGGAAAGAGAAAGAAAAAGAGGAAGTACAGGAGCAGAAGGAAAACACAAGTGAGAGAGGCGTGGGGGGCGCTGAGGGTCTGGGCTGGTGTGCTGCAGACTCAGCAAGCGTTGGGGCTCTGATAAATGCCACTGCTTTGGGGGCCATGCTCGCGGGGCTCAGGGCTGACTCCTGGCTCTGTGCTCGGGGATCGATCCCGGGTCAGCCGTGTGCAAGGCAAGTCCCTTTCCTGCTGCACTCTCACGCTGGCCCCAAAATGGGGTTTTCTGGGCCGGTTGTTTACCTGTGCATAATCTTAGTAAGGAGGGATTGCTGTTGACTCGTGTACCCTGACAGCTCTGTAAAGCCCCGCATCAGCTTTGAAAATGCTTCCCAAACCTTGTCAAGACAGGAAATGTGAGGATGACCCAGGAGGAAAGTATTTTTGCTTTTCCTTGTGAGTCCTGGCCCCTCCCAACATCCCAGGTCTCCCCCAGACCATAGCACAATTTGCTGTCCACATCAAGGTGTCTGGCCTGAGCCCCCGGGTGCCCCCTGGGCTGGGCCTACCCTTTAATCTCTTTTTGTCTGTCTTGCAGCAACCTCTCCAGTAACCGCCTCACCACCTTGTCGTGGCAGCTCTTCCAGACGCTGAGTCTCCGGGAGCTGTAAGTGCGGGCCTGAGGACCGTCTGTGCTGGGGGTGGGGGTGGGAGAGGCTGGGAGAGGCATGGGAGCCCCAGGGCGCCACCACACTGCTTGATGTGGGTGTTTCTTGGCGTGGCTCATTTCAGGGATGGGACATTTGTCCCTTCGCAGGACCAGCTTCTGTCATCTATCAGTAAAAGTTGATGTTTGTATCAATAGTCGAGCATTACCCATGGCTTTGTGGATAAATGGTGGGTTTTGTTGACCTCTACAGCAAGTGGCCCTGGAGAAGGGCGAGACTGTAGCTCCTGGTGTGTGTGTGTGTGTGTGTGTGTGTGTGTGTGTGTGTCCACGGCCCAGAAGACTGGCAAGGTGCAGCCAAGACCAACTCGATGGGGACTGACAGGAGCAGCACTCAGTCTCGGGGCCCTGACTGCTGGCATTCTCTTGTCACCGCCTGTGACCCTGTGCAGCCTCTCAGGTGTGGGGATGGGAAGCCGGCAGGACAGGGGCGGGAGAAGCCATATTCTTATGCTGCGTATGGACTGCCCAATTTCCCACAGTCCCAGACAGATCAGACCTGCCCACTCCAGCCCACCCAGAAGCCATGCCTACACTCTAAAACACCCATCAAGGCAGCCACCCTGTAGACCAGCCACCAGAGAGCCATGCCTACACTGTAAATCATGGCCACTAAAATAATCTCGTCTGGGCTGGAGCCATAGTACAGTAGGGAGGGTGTTTGCCTTGCATGTGGCCAAGCCGGGTTCAATCCCCAGCATCCCGTCTGGTCACCTGAGCACTGCCAGGAGTGATTTCTGAGTGCAGAGCTAGGAGTAACCCCTGAGCATGGTCAGTTGTGACTCCCGCCAAAAAAAAGCCAAAAAAGAAAACCACCCCTCACCTGTGCTAGAAACCAGGCCCACCAGACAGCCACACTGTAGACCATGCCCACCAGACAGCTAAACCACAGACCACCAGAAGCCACGCCCATACTCGAAACCATGCCCACAGTCAAGCCACGCCTACACTATAAACCACGCCCACAAGGCAGGGAGCCTGTAAGCCACGCCCACCAGCCACGCCCACCAGGCAGCTACACTAGACCACGCCAATCATAGCCACACCTGTCTGTTAAAGCCACGTCCTCACAAACCACACCACCAGGCAGCTCCACTGCAAGCCACCCGCACAAACCACACCGGGCAGAGACACTACAGACCATGCCCACCCAGGCGGCCTCGCCCATCCAGGCAGCCGCTTTGCTGGAGCGCTGGTTGGATGCCGGAGAATTTGCCAGCCCGGCTGGAGAGAGGAAATTACCCGTGGGGAAGTGTGAGTCCTCCGTGTCCAGAGGACAAGCTTATTAAGTTGAGCCAGTGGAGGAGTAAATTGGAAAGCAGTTGCTGCCTGGAGGAAGGGAGGGATCCAGGGCACAGTCCAGCAAACCCCTTTGCTTAGTAACCCAGTTACTCCTCATCCGTTCGCTGAGCGCTGGCTTCTTCCTCCTCTCCATCCAGAGGCAAAGGCCATGGGTTCCTCCCAGTGCTTGGAGGAGACGCCTCTGGTCCTTTGTGACCCGGCTGGTCTGGGTCGAGTCACTGTGTGTGCTGCCCTGTCCTCAGTGAGGGCCCTGACAGGTCACCCCCGCTCCCACACTCGCTTGCACCCCTTTGGAGCCCCTGCTTGGTGACAGGCAGTCTGGAAAGACGTAGCCACTGTGATTCATCATTTGCACCCCCGTGGGGCCCATGGGCGGGCGTGGCTGCTCCTTGGGATGTAGGCACTTGGGGAAGTCGAGTGTCTGGTGGCAGCGAGGGGTGGTCGTGTGCAGAAGGGCTTGCCACCGCACCCACTCTGTCCCTGCCGTCTGATGTGTGCATGTGTGCGTGTGTGTGTGCGTGCGTGTCTCTCCCGTGCCAGGCTCTGCTCTGTGAGAAGTTCTGGAAAGGGCCCGTGAGCCCTTCCTCTTCCAGGGACCCTGGAACTCATGCTGGGGTCCTTTCCCTCAGGGAGCTGGAGTAGGACGAGGGTGGGGGTTTTCTGGAGTCTCAGCCCTCCTGCTCCCTCCTCCGGAGACTGGCCCCCAGCTCGCTCGGGGACAGTGGGGTGGCTGTGCCTGGACCGAGAGTCCTTACTCCTTCTTAGACGCCGTGGGGTGTGGTGTCAGCGGCGCACGGCCTGTTCCAGAAGACCAGCTCTCTCCCAGACACCCTGTGGCCCCGATGTCTCCTTGGCGGGTGGGGTGGTGTCTCGGGGCTGTGGGGGAGCACGACTCTCTTCCCGACCTTCGGGCGGAAACCATGGTGCTGAGGAACAAAGCTGCCGTTTCCCTGGTAGGGGTCTGGGTTTTCTTTTCTTTCTTTCTCTCTTTTTTGGGGGCTTTTGAGGATGCGTCGACTGTTGCCAGTGGAAAATTTATCTTTTGGCCGGAGGAGCCGCGAGCTGGCTCTGTGCTGAGGCTTTGATTAAAATCCAAACAAGCCAGTTCCTGGCACATGGCAGAGGGGGCGCGTTCCTGCCCAGCTTCCTGATGCCTGAGCCGGCCACCATCTGCCATGCGACAGCGAGGCTGCCAGAGTCGGCCCTGTGGGGCCCCAGGGGCCGGCCATGGACAGGAATCTCGGCCCCGAGGCGAGCATGGCCGGAGGGACACAGCCAAGTGCTTCGGAGGCCAGGGGCTCTCCAGGGCACAGACATGGCGATATCCACTTGGGCCACTGTCTGCGGGGAGAGTGGGGACCAGGAGGGCCTGAGGGTCTGTCTGTCCCACCATGCCCTTGTGCTGTTGGGGGTGGGGTCTCCATCAGAGGCTGTGCACTCTCTGCTTGTCCACTAGAAGAGCTGGGGCCGGGATGGCAGGACAGTGGGGAGGGTGTTTGCCTGGCACGCAGCTGACCTGGGTTCGATCTCTGGCATCCCATATGATCCCCTGAGCCGCCAGGAGTGATTCCTGGGTGTAGAGCCAGGAGTAAGCCCTGAGCATCGCCGCGTGTGGCCCTAAAGCAAACCCAAACCCCTTTAGCAGAGAAGAGGAGGGTGCCGAACCCAATGACAGGGACCGGGAGGGCAGGAGTGTCAGCACCCCAACATGACGTGGGTCCTGGGGTCCTAGGGGCTCTTTCAAGGTTCTGAGCACCCTTCCCACTTTCCCCAGCTGCTCTTACCAGATGGGTGAAGCCCCCAACCCCCATGCTGGTGCCTCCTTCCAGAAGCTTCTTTCTAGATGGGGGCGCTCCGAGTGGAGTCCTGGGAAAGATAAAAATCCCAATAGATCAGCATGCTGGGACCATCGCGGGGTGCCCGCCTTGTCCTGGACTTACTTCCCGCTGACTTTTGTGTTTTTCTTTTTTATTGTTTTGATCTCACCAGCTGAGCTCGTGGTGGGGGCATGCCCCATTTCACCGACTTCTGTGAGCTCGAGGGGGTGGTTGTGGCTGGGAGCCGGTGTCCCCGACTCTCAGGCCCCATGGCCCAGCCTTGCCGCTGGGGATCCGGTGCGGTGCCAGGAGTGCGACTCGGAGACTCGGGTGTCTGGCTGGGTGCTCGCACGTCTTCCCCTTTACAGAGGAGGGTGGAACGTGTACCCCGAAATCCAGGCAGGCGTCAGAGGGCTGCCTGAGAGGCGAGGAGAGGGTGCAGAGGAGAAGTTCTGAAGCCCAAGATCCGGGAGCGGGGGAGGGGCGGCAGCGGCGACAAGCTCTGCATGCGGAACCTTCCAGAAACACCTCGATGACTCCATGTGTGCAGACCTTGATCAGGCAGGGCAGAGGCGGGCTGGTGTGAGCCTCGAAGTGCGGGGGGCTGGCCGGGCTGCAGCTCCTTCGTTCCTTCCCTCTTTCCTTCCTTCTCTCCCTTCTTTCCTCCCTCCTTCCCTCCCTCCTTCCCTCCTTTCCTCCTTCCTTCCCTCCCTCCTTCCCTCCCTCCTTTCCACCCTCCTTCTCTCCTTCCCCGCCCCCAGTGGCTGCTCTAGGGTGCCCACGTCATGCTGGGTGCTGATTCCTGGCTTTTCCATCACCCCCTTCTCATTCCTGGAGCCCCGTGTACCCTCAAGGAAACTGGGCCACCGTTGGCCCCTGGCCTCCAAGGCTGAAACAACCTTCACAGGCTCAAACCCGTCCTCGGAGGGTCAGCCTGGGGGCCGCAGAGCACATGCGGAGAGATCAGGGCCGGCTGGGGGCTCCCTGGGCTCCCTGGCCTTCCTGCCCTTCCTGGCGGAGCTCAGCTCCTGGCCGCATGACTCTGGCTTCTCAGTTCTGTCTGCGACTTGTCAGGTCAGGAAGCAGCAGGGAGGGGTGATAGCCCTGCTCTGCTGACCCCACAGTCCAGCTCAGCCTGTGCACCCCGGTCTGTCCCACCCTGGGGCCACAGCTGGACTCAACAGCCCCCGGAGAACAGGACCAATTTTGATGGTCCCTGTGCCAGCCGCGCTCTCAAGGCCGGGCCCAGACAGGGACCCCAGGGCTCAGTCAGCTGCCAGCTGACCGCCAGGAATTCCTCACCGAGAGTGAACCACCTGCTTCCCTCCTTCCCTCCCTCCTTCCCACTCTCCCTCCTTCCCACCCACCCTCCCTCCCTCCCTCCCTCCCTCCTTCCTTCCTTCCTTCCTTCCTTCCTTCCTTCCCTCTCTCCTTCCCTCCCTCCTTCCCTCTCTCCTTCCTTCCCCCTTTCCTCCCTCCTTCTCTCCCTCCCTTCCTTCTCTCCCTCCCTTCCTTCCTTCCTTCCTTCCTTCTTTCCTTCCTTCCTTCCCTCCTTCCCTCTCTCCTTCCTTCCCTCCTTCCCTCCCTCCCTCCCTCCCTTCCTTCCTTCCTTCCTTCCTTCCCTCCTTCCCTCCCTCCTTCCCTCCCTCCCTTCCTTCCTTCCTTCCTTCCCTCCTTCCCTCCCTCCCTCCCTCCCTTCCTTCCTTCCTTCCTTCCTTCCCTCCTTTCCTCCCTCCTTCTTCCCTCCTTCCCTCCGTGCACCCACCCACCATCCTCCCTTATCCCCACTCACCCACGCTCCCGTCGTCCTTGCTTCCTTCCTCTCTTCTCTCTCTTATCCCATGTTGGGCTCTGCTGTTGCATGTTCCGAGGGCACAGTCATGCCGCAGACGGGCAGTGTACCCAAGTGTTGTCTGCGGAGACGGCTCACTCAGATGGGTGGTCGCAGGAATGTATGGCCACAATACTAGGAAGAGCAGCGGGCAGGGGCCAGGCAGGACTGTGGCTTTGGAGAGGGATATGATTCAGGGAGGGGCCAGCCCAGCAGATGGACTGTGCAAAGGCCCCGGGGCTGAGAAAGCTGGACAGCCAGCAGAGTTGGCCTATGGAGTAGGCAAGAAGGGTGTGGCGGGGGGCGGGGGGGGGGCGAGACGTGCTTCCAAACTGCCGGACTTGGATCTCAGAGGGTTGAGAAGTTGGGACCATCCGGAAGGAGGTCAGTAGTGCAAACTCCTTTTCCTTCCTTGTTTCTGAGGCCTCGAGGAGACATTTAAATCCCGTCTTTAACCGTGTTGACGTGGATTCTCGGAGACCCCCGGGGTCCGTTCTGAGGCGATGGGGCCCCAGCGTCTCCCCAGTCTCCCGCCGGGCAGCGGGCCCTGGGCTGAGGCGCCCCGCTTGCTTCTCTCCCGCAGGCGGCTGGAGCAGAACTTCTTCAACTGCAGCTGCGGCATCCGCTGGCTGCAGCTGTGGCAGGAGCAGGGCGAGGCGCGGCTGGGCGGCCAGAAGCTCTACTGCATCGGCGGGGACGGCGCGCAGCTGCCCCTCTTCCGCATGAACGTCAGCCAGTGTGGTGAGAGCAGGAGGGGGCCTGCGTGCGCATGTCTGTGCGGGGCTGTGCCTGGATGTGCGTGCGTGTCCAGTGGATGTGCCTGTGTGTATGCCCGTGTGTGCTGCGTGTGTGCCAGTGTGTCTGCGTGAGGGTGTCTGTGTGTCTGCCTGCGTGTGTGCTGTGTTGCTTCCTCAGCACGTGCATGTGCATGTGTGTGCCTGCGTGTAGGCATGCATGTGCTCTGTTGTGTGCGTGCGTGGGCCTTCCTCAGTGTGTGCATATGTGTACCTGTGTGTATGTGAGTGTATGTGCTTATGTAGATCTGTGTGCGTGTGTGCTTGTGTGTATGTGCCTCTCTGTGTGCATGTGTGTGTATATATGTGCATATGTGTGCATATGTGTGTGAGACCCACCAGCTCCCCCGCCTCTCCCATCGCCCTCCCGGGTCAGTGCGGAGGCCAGATGTGGGTAGCAGCGCCTTGCTGGGGCTCTCTCCTTTCTCCCGGGGTGCGCTTGTCTGCCAGAGGGGTGAGGACTAGGGGTGCCCAGCGGGAGCATCCCAGGTGCTTGTAGAAAGGCAGGTTCCTGGGTCTGTCCGCGGAACCCCGCTGGTGTGTCCTCAAAAGCAACACAAACAGCTGGGGAGACGGGCTTCCCCAGGTGTGTGCCCAGCGGGTCCCTGGGAACCAATCCCCTGTGCTGTGTGGCTTCATTGTCCATTTCCGGCCGGCCGGGGAACTGCCCGGAGCCAGGGGCGCCGGCTGTGTTGGCGTGAGCACCTGGGCCCAGTGTACCCCTGTGCCTCGTTGGGCGCTTGCTGTGTTGTCAGCCCCTCTCTGCACCCCCAGATCTCCCCGAGATCAGCGTGAGCCATGTGAACCTCACTGTGCGGGAGGGGGACAGCGCGGTCATCACGTGCAACGGCTCGGGCTCGCCCCCTGCCCGATGTGGACTGGATGGTCAGCGGGCTGCAGTCCATCAACACACACCAGGTGGGGCGGCCGGGGAAAGGGGCGGGCGGGCGGAGGGGCGCCCTCCCGGGGCCTGTCTTTGGTGGGGGGGACCCAGTGGCATCGCCGCTTGTGTGGGTCTTTCTAGACCAATCTGAATTGGACCAATGTCCACGCCATCAACCTGACACTGGTCAATGTGACCAGTGAGGACAACGGCTTCACGCTGACCTGCATCGCGGAAAACGTGGTGGGCATGAGCAACGCCAGCGTGGCTCTCACTGTGCACTGTGAGTGGACGCTGTTGGACGGGCTTCTGCGGCTCCTCCTGTCCTGCCCCACCCCTCGCCCCTCGCCCCGAAGCCCCGCCCCTTCCATGGCACCCCGCCCCTCTCCCGAAGCCCCTCCTCTCCCACATCCCTCGCCACGCCCCTCGCCAAAGCCCCGCCCGTAACCCCGCCCCTCGCCCGAAGCCACACCCCTTCCATGTCACTCCGCCCCTCTCCCGAAGCCCCTCCTCTCCCACATTCCTCGCCACGCCCCTTGCCAAAGCCCCGCCCTTAACCCCGCCCCTCACCCAAAGCCCCGCCCCTTCCATGTCACTCCGCCCCTCTCCCGAAGCCCCTCCTCTCCCACATTCTCGCCACGCCCCTCGCCAAAGCCCCGCCCTTAACCCCGCCCCTCACCCAAAGCCCCGCCCCTTCCATGTCACTCCGCCCCTCTCCCGAAGCGCCTCCTCTCCCACATCCCTCGCCACGCCCCTTGCCAAAGCCCCGCCCTTAACCCCGCCCCTCACCCAAAGCCCCGCCCCTTCCATGTCACCCCGCCCCTCTCCCGAAGCCCCTCCTCTCCCACATCCCTCGCCACGCCCCTTGCCAAAGCCCCGCCCTTAACCCCGCCCCTCACCCAAAGCCCCGCCCCTTCCATGTCACTCCGCCCCTCCCGAAGCCCCTCCTCTCCCACATCCCTCGCCACGCCCCTTGCCAAAGCCCCGCCCTTAACCCCGCCCCTCACCCAAAGCCCCGCCCCTTCCATGTCACTCCGCCCCTCTCCCGAAGCCCCTCCTCTCCCACATCCCTCGCCACGCCCCTTGCCAAAGCCCCGCCCTTAACCCCGCCCCTCGCCCTAAGCCCCGCCCCTTCCATGTCACACCGCCCCTCTCCCGAAGCCCCTCCTCTCCCACATTCCCTCGCCATGCCCCTTGCCAAAGCCCCGCCCTTAACTCCGCCCCTCACCCGAAGCCCCGCCCCTTCCATGTCACTCCGCCCCTCTCCCGAAGCCCCTCCTCTCCCACATCCCTCGCCACGCCCCTTGCCAAAGCCCCGCCCTTAACCCCGCCCCTCGCCCGAAGCCCCGCCCCTTCCATGTCACTCCGCCCCTCTCCCGAAGCCCCTCTCCCACATCCCTCGCCACGCCCCTTGCCAAAGCCCCGCCCTTAGCCCCGCCCCTCGCCCGAAGCCCTGCCCAGCCCCTTCCCCCACCGGTCGGTCCCTAGACCCGAAGCCCCGCCCCACCCTGAAGCCCCACCTTACCCCTCGCCCTAGGTCCCTGCCCTGCCCCCTCTCCCCTCCAGGGTGGTGAGCGCAGGGCTTTACTGTTCTGGAACCCTGGGCCCAGGGTGGATGCAGGCGCCGCCGGGTGGGTGAGGCCCCTGGGCGGCCCCTCTGAGGCCCCCCTACCCGCGTGCCGCAGACCCGCCGCGCGTGCTGAGCCTGGAGGAGCCCGAGCTGCGCCTGGAGCACTGCATCGAGTTCGTGGTGCGCGGGAACCCGCCGCCCACTCTGCACTGGCTGCACAACGGGCAGCCTCTGCGCGAGTCCAAGATCATCCACGTGGACTTCTACCAGGAGGGCGAGCTGTCCGAGGGCTGCCTGCTCTTCGACAAGCCCACGCACTACAACAACGGCAACTACACACTCATCGCCCGGAACGCGCTGGGCACGGCCCGCCAGACCATTAGCGGCCACTTTCTCAGGGAGCCCTTCCCAGGTGAGCTCCGCAGCGGGAGCGATGGACACGTGCACAGGGTCAGGAGTGGCCGTCAGGTGTGGCCGCCAGGGCCTCCTGCTCAGGGCTCAGGGTCTCCCCACCCCCAGCTCCTCAGCTTTGGGGCCTGGGAGCAAGGCCACATCAGGGTGGCCCTCACAGTGCACTGAGTGGATGCTGGTGGATGGGCCCCACTACCCCCGGGTGGTGGAGCGGGAGGGAGATAGAGGACTCTACCAACTGTGCTCTATCCACAGGGCTGTGTTAGCACTGGCACCCACCCATGCTGGCTTTAATTAATTAATTAATTTGTTTTTGTGTTTTGGGTCACATCCGGCAGTCCTCAGGGGTCACTCCCGGGGGACTCTATAGGACACCGGGCATCGAACTTGGCTTGGCCCATGCAAGGCAAAACGTTCAACCCACTGTGCTGTCACTCTGGCCCTGGGTTTATTTTTATTATTTTATTTTGTTTATTTTTTGTTTGGTCCTTGGGCCACGCCCAGCAATGCTCAGGGGGTTACTCCTGGCTCTGCACTCGGGACTCACTCCTGGCCCGGCTCAGGGGACCCTATGGGGTGTCGCCAGAGATGCAGCCTGGGAAGGGTGCATATAGGCTTTCCCCATGTTGCTCTCTTTCTTGCCCCCCGTTTTTATTTCTTATGGAGTGGGATGGTTTGATTGAGGCATGAACAGAGTTCCCATTGGTTCAGAGGTTTATCTTTATTTTTAATGTTCTGAGGGGGGTTGGGATATTAATTCCAAGAGCTTTTCTGGCATGTGTACACTCATAAAGGGGAATAAATAAAAAAAGGTAAAGGCCCTCCCGTTGATCGTCGATTTGCTCGAGCGGGCCCAGTAACGTCTCCATTGGAGACTTTGTTGTTACTGTGTCTGGCATATCGAATACTCTCGGCAGCTTGCCGGGCTCTCCGAGAGGGGCGGAGGAATCGAACTCGGGTCGACCATGTTGGCCGCTTGTAAGGCGAACGCCCTACCCGCTGTGCTATCGCTCCGATATGCCAGACACAGTAACAACAAAGTCTCCAATGGAGACGTTACTGGGCCCGCTCGAGCAAATAAAAAACAAACAAAAAATTTAAAATTAAAAAAAAAAATGGGTGGGGGGAACAGACCATGCCCGGAGGCGGCAGCTGGTGCGCCAGAGCTTCGGCCGTGAAGCCCCTGAGCGCGGCTGAAGGAGGTCGGGGTGCGGATACCGGGGGAGCCCTTACCCCCCGAGCCCATCAGGTTCTCAAGCTTTAGCCCAGAGCCCTGCAGGCCCGGTGTCCAAGTGAGAAGCTCCTGGTGATGCTTCAAAGCTGCACGCACTGGCCGAGGGACTCCCTCGCCTGTGTCCCAGGACATGCCCCCGTATCTGTCAGGTGTCCAGTGGGCTGCGAGGGGCCCTTCTGGAGCAGGAAGCCGGATGCTCTCTCTGGAGTGTCCCCAGAGGGTGCTCAGGTGTGTCTAAGGAGAGGGGCGCTCCCAGGAATCCGGTCAGCCAGTGGCCCAGCTAGGTAGGGCTGGGGTTTGCGCATGCGTCCTGCAGCCTGGGCAGCCGGCATGTCCCCGCTGTCTCCATCAGAAAGTCGGATCCAGGTGTGGGCTTGTCGGCGCCTGGAGGTCAGAGAGCATCCTTCTGTGGTTGTGGGTGCAGATTTCCGAGGCATCCCCCTATTATGATGCACTCCCCATTTGGGGGAAGGTGGTTTGGGTCATCCCCCGTGGAACTCAGGGATTACTCCTGGCTCTGTGCTCAGGAATCACTCCTGGTGGGCTTGGGGGAACCCTCTGGGATGCTAGGGGTTGAACCCACACTGGCTCCCTCCCTGCTGTCCTGTCTCTCCCCTCCACTCCCATTTCTATCCCTGTTGGCATATTCGGGCCAGGACCCTGCCAGCCTAGCCAGCCTGTGTCCCTGGGTGTGTCTCTCTGTCCCCCAGCCGGGGCATGGGCGTGGCTGCACTCCGAGTTGGCTGTCCAGTTCCCCTAGGAACCAGAACTCTCTCTCCTGGCAGTTCATGGTGGAAGGCGAGGCCGTTGGCTGTCAGGGCTGATGTATTTGTGTCTTTTCTGGTTTCTGTTACTGTCTCCAGTCACCTCTTCGCCTTTTGTTTTTCTTGCAGAGAGCACAGAAAACTTCGTCTCTTGTAAGTCTGCCTTACCTTCGGCTCAAAAGGAATTTATTCTCGACACCCCTGGCACCCTGCACGCACCTCCCTCCCCCTGCCCCCCTCCAGCCACTGAGTGACCCGGAGAGAAACCCAGAGGGGAGAAATAGTCTGGGGTCGTCCGTGGGAGGTTCCGGGCCTTCATCCCCTCCCAGGGACTTTCCCAGGGCCTGACCATGCACGGGTCCCCAGGGGGCACGGGGGTCTCTGCTGTCTACCCACTGCAGCTCCCCGGGGGAGGCCTCGGAGCCACCCATGTTGGCAGGTCCCACTTCTCGAGGCTGTGACTTTCTGGGCCCCCCCCAGACGCCCGAGTGACCAGATCAAAGGGATTCTTGGGGCCCCAGACTCAGAGATTCCAGCCAGGACTGGGCACTCCCCGTGCCCCCCCCTTCCTAGGGTCTGGCTCTCTGCTTGCTGCCCTTTGGACCCTGTGCCCAGACAGAGATGCCCTTTTGTACTTTGACCTGGATGCAAACAGTGGCTGGGATGGCTCCATTTGCCCCAAGTCACAGACTGTTCTGACCAAGGGGGTGACTCCAGCGCGTGGGGGGGGGCACCTGATGTCCTGCTGGGTCCTGTCGGGACACCAGGAGGCGGATGGGCCAAGGTGTCTGAGAGCAGTTTCGGGGACATGGCCTGTTTGTGGGGCCACGGAGCGGATGCCCCTCTCTCCCCTTTGCATTCTAAAGTTCAGGGCTGACAGAACCCCGGGACCCCAGGGTGGGAAGGTGGGCGGGAGGGACTGCTGTGGGGGTGGTCCGGGTGCAGGGCGGGGTGAGGCCAGCCTGCTGGACTGCACTCAGCATCCCCATGCCTGTGTTCCAGTCTACGAGGTGAGCCCGACGCCCGTCACAGTGACCCTGAAGCCTGAGGAGGACACGTTTGGGGTGAGTCACTTCCGGTGCCAGGCAGGGGTGGGGCTGCGCCTCTCAGCTACTGCCCAGACGAGTGTCCCCAGCCTCTGCCCCTCCCCCTCTCTCAGGTTCCTCCTGGGAGAAGAGGGTGGGTCTGCAGGGCCCGGGGTCACCTGGGGGAGGTTCAGGGAAGCAGCTTCAGGGTGAAGACGCAGAATTCACTGGCAGAAGAGCGGGGGTGCTCGGGCAGGAGAGGCCGGGACTGGGATGCTGGAACAGAACGAACTTTCTTTGCTGGGCATCTCCCAAGCGGAGAGGGGGAGCAAGGCGTTCCGGAGGGCCACATGCAAGGCTCCCCAAGTTTTCTCTCGGACCCCTGGACACAGTTTTGTCCTATGCACGTGGGCAACTTCCTTTAGAATGATCTCAGGGGCCTCCCAGGCGCCTGGTAGAGCCCCCTCTGCAGCACAAGACCCCAGGACTGCCCCCCGCCAGGCCCGTGGGGGTGGGCGCAGGGCTCAGTGGGGTTCTCATGCTCCCAGGTGTCCATCGCTGTCGGTCTGGCCGCCTTTGCCTGCGTCCTGCTCGTGGTCCTCTTCATCATGATCAACAAGTACGGCCGGAGGTCCAAGTTTGGAATGAAGGGTAAGGCGGGGTCTGCCGTGGTGAGGGGCTGCTGGGGGGACACAGCCAGAGCTGGGGCTCCATTTTAGCACCCAGGTTCCCCCGGGAGGCACGGAGGTGGTTCTGGGGGGTCTTGCGCGCTTGCACCGTCGCTCCTGTGGATTCTGGATCAGGGCTGCGCCCACGTGCTGGCCCCACGCCAGGAGGCTGGGGATGAGAGCGGGTGGGGCCGTGCAGGGGGCGGGTACAGGGCCCAGTCGGAGGCTTCGCTTCTCCTGACACCAGCTGCCGCCGGCCTCGGTCCCCAGCACTGGGTTCTGTGGGCGTCCCCTGGGCACCAAGAGCATCGGGCAAGTCTGACCAACCTCTGCCTGTGCCCGCCGTCTCTGACACCCCAGGAGGGGCTGCTGGGATCAGGGCTCCCGGGCCCAGCCTCCCCTGCTGGGGTCTCCTCCGGACGGGGTACCGCATCCCCAGGGCGACTGCTCATTGCCCCACAAGAGCGGCTGGGGGGAGGGGCTCGGGGGTGTCACATGGCCCAGCAGCTGTCCGTGCCCAGCTTGACTCTGATTGGGGTCTGCAGAGGCGTCTTGGTGTGAGACAGTCTCACCATGGGGGACCACGAAGGACGGGGTGTATGTACAGATATGTGGGTGTCCCCACCCGACGTGTGGGCGGGATGGCGTCAGGACAGATCCCGTCGTTCCAGAGCTCTTGGCACCATCGCCCCAGAGTTTGTATCCGCCCCGGGAGTGGAACAGCGAGAGTGGAGGATGCAGGACCTGCTTCCCAGAGCTCGCCCGGCCCTCCCCCTCCCCTCTCCTCCCTTACCCCTCCCCCTTCCCTCCCCATCCACCTCCTCTCCCCACTCCTGCCTTCCCCCTCCTCTCCTCTCCTCTGCCCTCCCCTCCCCTTCCTATTCCTTTACTCCTTTCCCCTCCCCTCCCTTCCCTTCCCTTCCCTTCCCTTCCCTTCCCCTCCCCGCTTTTGGTTTTTGGGCCACCCCTGACAGTGCTCAGGGCTGACTCCTGATGCTCTGTGCTCAGAGATCACTCCTGGCAGTACTTGGGGAGCCCTGTTGCAGTGCTGGGGGTGGAACCCAGGTTGGCCATGCAGGACGGGTGCCCTCCCGCGGCACTGTCACGCCCGCCCCTCTGGGTCTCTTTCTGCTCTCAGGAAAGCTCCACCAGCCCTGGCCTGGCCGGCCGGATTTCATGATCTCGTGTCTCTGTGGACCGTCAGACGCCTGCCCGGGCTGTTCCGAGGGCTGAGTGTGGCCTGGCCTGGGCCCATGCCCACCTGAATATGATGGGACTCGGTCCACATAGCCTCAAGGCGGGGGGCACTTGGTGCCTTCAGGTGCCAATTCCTGCCTTATGGGCCCCGGGACCCTGTGAAGAGGGGCCTTATCTCTGGTGTCCCTGCCCCACCCTGGTTGAGCCTGGATGCTGGCATCCACCAGGTGGCCAGGAGAGCAGTTTCCTTCCCTCATCTGGCCCCAGAACGGAGTGTGCCTGTGTGGGTGGCCGGGCCGCCCCAAGTGTCCACTCACCCCTGCTCCCCTTGTGCAGTCCCAGCTGCTCATCCACCTGCCTTTGCTCCAGGCCCCTGTTGGGGGACATGCGACCAGCCCCTGGTCGGGTGCTTGGAGGGGTCCAGCTGGAGCTGAGGGAGGGCAGAGGGCGTGGTGTGGACCTGGGTTGGGGTCAGCCCTGCGCCCCTCAGGGCCCACGTGCCCCAGCTAGCCTTGACTTAAAGACGCAGGTGTCCGGGCATGGACGGACCCTCTCCCTTGCCTCTCTGCAAGGTCTCTGCCGTGCTGAGCGCAGGCACCAGGGTGTCCTGCTGTGACTGTGTCCCCCTGATATGGCCTCCTGCCCCCTTGGGTTCCTGCCCCGAGTACCCAGCTGGCCTCCGCCGGGTCAGCCTCCACCCAGTCGGAGCCCTAGGCTCCCTTTGGTCCCCCCCGGGGCTGTGTGGAAGAGCTTTCCTGGTGCCCACCCCCTTGTCACACTGGGGTTCTCTTACCTGGCGCAGCCCTCGTGCCCAAAACGTTGGCCACATGGTTGGCTGATGCCTGGCTGACTCTTAAGCGAAGGACTTTCTCTCTCTCTCAGGCATGAGCTGTGCAGGGTGTCTGGTCAGTAGGAGCTAGGGTGGGGGAGGGGAGGCCCTTTCATCCGGCTCACCCCATGCCTGAGCTGGGGCGTATTCCCATGAGCCTCCTTCCTTCCTTCCACCCGGCAGTGCTTGGGGGACCATGCACGGGCACGCACACACATGTATGTGCACTCATATGCTCACATACACGTACTCACACACCCACATACATATACACACATGCATCCATACACACATTTGAGCGTGTGTGCATGTGTGTGCATGCACAAAGGGGTGCACGTCGTATGTGTGAGCTTGTGCGGATGCGAGTGTTTATGCACACTTGTGTTCATGTGTGTATGATGCATGTGGGCACACGTGTGTGTGTATGTATGCATGTGTGTGTGGCTTCTCGGTTTCCCGTCTTTCGCAGTGGCTCCAACTGTGCATTCCTTAGGACCCTTTTGGACGGTGCCTCTGTACCGGGCACCCCTGGGGCCTCTGGCCTGCAGGATCACCCAGACATGGGCGCATGCCGTCCTTGAGTGACACTGGACTCCCCTGGGCAGGGACCAGATGCCAGGTCTGCATTTTGTGTCCCAGCACCTGCATTTTGAGAGGAAGAAGTGCAGAAGGACCCCGGGGAGAGCCTGGACTGCCCCTGGGGTTGGAGCTGCCGAGGGTGGAAGGCTCTCGTCATGCCTGGTGTCCTTTTCAGAGGAGAGAGACTCTGGCCAATGGCTGGTTTTCGCCTGTAATCAGAGGTTACTTTGTTGGGCCTCTGGCCTCAAATATCTCTCCATGGGGTGATCAGATACAGTTTCCTTCTTTTTTCTATGCAGAGAAGATACAAATCTAACCTTTACATAACACCTGGAGGCCTGGGTTTGTGTTGGAGGGCAGATGAGACCAGAGGGGCGTGGCCGTCCTGAGTCCTGCTAGGGCCCTACTGGACAGTGCGAGCTCTCGGGAGTGGCCCCCCAGAGCCGCCTCCTTCTAGCGTGGCCCCTCTGGCCAGGGGGAGGGACTTCAGTGGGCAGAGGGCTATCAGCAGGACGGTGGCCCTGAGACTGGGGCTTTGTCATTGTGTCCAAGTTGCTGCCTGGCTTCTGGGGGTCGTGGGCAGTCAGTGGAAGCATGTGCCTGCTTGATTGTGCCTGGGGGGGTCCTCACGGGCCACCCCCAACCCCAGACAGATGGGCACTGTGCACTGAGTCTCGGTTAGGGCGTGGGGACTTCCGCGGGGGCTGCCTGTCTGCTGGGTGACTGTTCTAGAACACGGCGCCCCGGGGGCTTGGCAGGGCTGGCGGCGGCGGCGCTGTCCTGTCTCTGTGGGGGCTGGGCGCCGCCCACTCCTGGCTGTCCCAGGCTCAGCCCGCTGTGCTCTGGCTCAGAGCCTGGCCCTAGAGCCGACACCCCTGGTGGGGGTTCCCTGCACCACCTGTGCCCAGGCTCGCAGTGGCCCTGTAGGGCCCAGTGGCCACGCGCTTGGCCCGGGCCTCCTCCACCTGTCACAGATGACACTTAGACGCACGCGAGGCCCTGCACAGTGGCTTCATGTCCCTGGGAGTGTCACAGGTGGGAGTCATGCCCACTCTGCTCTTCACTTTCCTCTTTTTTTTTTTTTTATTTTGGGCTAACACTGGTGGTACTCCGCCCCTCTCGGAGAGCCTGGCAAGCTACCAAGAGTATTCGATATGCCAGACACAGTAACAACAAAGTCTCCAATGGAGACGTTACTGGGCCCGCTCGAGCAAATCGACGATCAACGGGAGGGCCTTTACCTTTATCTTTACCTTTACTGGTGGTGCTCAAGGATGACTCCTGGCTCTGTACTCAGGATTGACTCCGACTCTGTGCTCAGGGCTGACTCCCAGCTCTGTGCTCAGGGATAAGTCCTGGCTCTGTGCTCAGGGCTGACTCCTGGCTCTGTGCTCAGGGCTGACTTCTGGCTCTGTGCTTAGGATTGACTCCTGACTCTATGCTCAGAACTGACTCCCAGCTCTGTGCTCAGGGATGACTTCTGGTGGGGCTCCGGGCACCCTATAAGATGCCTGGGATTGAACTTGGGTCGGCCATGTGCAAGGCAGACCCCTTACCAGCTGTCTGGTCGCTCCATCCCCAGGACCCAGGTCACTGCAGGAGGAAAGGTTGCCCCCCACATCCGCCAAGACGCTGGCGCACACCCCCACCCCTAACCTGGCCAACTCCTGGCCCACTGTCCTTTGGAGAGGGATGTCCACGGGCTGTGGGGAGGGGAGGGGCAGGGCCGGCCTCTCTCCAGGGTCTGGTCCCTGCTCCAGAAGGAGCTTCCGGTCCCCTCCTGCGTCTCCTCCACGCCCAGGGCTGGCAGCACCCCATCCTTCTCCATCCATCTAGTGACCCTCCATCCTTCTCCCCTCCTTGGTCCCCAGGGCAGGGACTTAGAGGGAGATTTGCTCATGACTCCCGTCCACACCCGCTCTCACCTCCCAGTCACGTGGGCGGCCATCCAGCCCAAACTCACTTCCTTCTGGGGTAAGGGGGGCTGTGGGAAGGTCAGGGATCAGTCTCGGGGTGCCAGGGATCGAACCCAGGTCGTCTGGGTGCAAGGCAAGCGCCCTCCCCACTGTCCTGTCACTCCAGCCCGTTACCCTGTTTTAAGGAGGAAAGGGCTGCTCAGGGCAGTCCAGATGCCCAGTGTCAGGAGACCTCAGGGACATTCTGGCCCCCACACCGCCATGTTCCCATCTCCTGCACCCCCACCTGGGCCGCACCATGGGCTGCATCCTGGCCGGCCGTGAAGGCTGGAAGTGTGCGGCAGGCAGAGCACAGCAAGCCGAGCTGAGAGGCGAGTCCCTGGTGTGGCCCCAGAGCATGGGGGACTGTCGGGCGTGGCCAAGCCTGCAGGGCTGGTGAGCACTGGGTGGATGCGGGTTTCA